CATCTGTGCCGCCAAGCAATACCCAGCCCATGGAAGATGGCCCATAGCTCTGCCGAGATCGCCGGAGCTTCCCCAATCTTGGCCACAAAACCAGTGACCCATCCTCCCTGATCATCACGTATCAGTCCACCGGCACCTGCAATACCCGAATTCCCTGCCGAGGACCCATCCACATTGAGTTTAAAGCAACCGCTAGTAGGGGCTCTCCATTGAATGCTTTCTACCCTTCTATCAAGGACGTGCTTAGGCCTGCCTAGGGAGAGGGAGGGAGCGTTCCACGCCTTGTTCCACAAGCCAACTTTGTGATCAATAGCGTGGCTCAGGGATGGAGCCGAGAAAGTGGCAGAAATACCTTTAAAACAGCCCATGCATCGATTTTTCCACAAAAGCCAGATAGCCGTGCTGAAAAAGGCATTCCAGTTAACCCCTGAAGCAGTGGCCTCTTCTTTGAGAAGATTCCTATGTAACCATGTCCCTGTAGGCAATGAAAAGAACACCTGCTGCTCAGCATATGGGACGTGCCTGCTCCAGAAATAAGCTGCCGGTGGGCAATCTCGAAGAACATGCCCAATAGACTCGATCACACCATCACATCGATAGCAATTAGGAGAGGCAGCACACTTTCTTGAGCACCGCAGTTGATTAGTCGCAATCTTGCCCAAGGAGACCAGCCAAGCGAAGCACCGAATCCGCTCTGAAACTGGGAGTCTCCAAATCTGCTTCCAAAGTCTTTGTCGCGGATCATCTCGAGGAGGATTCGCCAGAAGGTAGGCTGACTTCGTGGAAAAACGACCATTGGATGTACCGCTCCAGAACAACCTGTCCTTCTCGGTGGAAAGGGGATCGACCGCCACCGCTGTCATCTTCTGCAGGATCTCCGTCGGGAGCCAGGGGGTCAGGTGCTCCACCTCCCAGCTTCCATCTTCCGCGATGTAGTCAGCTACAGACTCCAACAACATTCCTTCTGGCACCGGTTGCAGAGCCACCTCCACCAGCGGGACCTGCATCAACCAAACATCATTCCAAAATTTAGTGTCCTTCCCGTTGTGGATATTCCAAGCACAGCCTTGTTGCAGAATGCTAGAAGCTTTAGTGAAGCTTCTCCAGGCAAAGGAACTTCCCTGACTTGGGCGTAGAAGGTCAAGCCCTTCTCGCTGTCTACCGTACTTAGCCCGAATAAGCTGCGTCCAGAGAGAGTCCTTTTCCTGCAGTAATCTCCAACCCCCTTTGGCCAAAAGGGCCAAGTTAGCTTGCCTCAGGGGTCGCAGCCCGGCTCCGCCTTGGCTCCTTGGCTCAGTAAGTTTCTCCCAAGCCACCAAATGCATCCTTCCTTGCTGCTGCTCACCCTCCCCCCAGATGAAATCCCTGTTAATCTTATCAATTGACTTACAAACATTCAAAGGAATCAGCTCAGTCTGCATAGGGTAGGTGGGAATGGAAAGAGAGACAGAGCGGGCCACGGTAAGCCTCGCCGCAAGGGATAAACGCCTAGCCTTCCACGGGGCCAGCTTTTTCTGGATTTGCAGAACCAGGGGTTCGTATCTACTCTTGGTGACTCTCCCGTGGATGGCTTGCATTCCCAAGTAGCGGCCGAGATGAAGAGTCAGAGGTATTGCAGCCCTGTCGCTAAGCCGTTGAGCACGAGCTTGACCGATATTGGGTGAGACATAGAGAAGAGACTTGCTGAAGTTCACTCGCTGACCGGAGCTAGCACAAAACTCGTCCAAGCATTGTCTAATGATTCGAACTTGGGAGCCCTCCGCCTCCGAAAAAAGAATGAGGTCATCTGCAAAAAAGAGGTGGGTTAGAGCCGGGCCCCCCGGAGAGAGTCTGACAGGTTTCCACAACTTCTCCTGGACAGCCCGATCAATCCTATGGGATAAGCGTTCCATACACAAGACAAAAAGATAGGGTGAGAGAGGATCTCCCTGACGAACTCCCCTGGACGGAGTAATAGGCTGCGAGAGCTCCCCGTTCCAAAGGACACGCATAGAGTTCTTCTCGACGCAGTACATGATACACCTGATCCACGAATCCGGCAGGCCCACCTCGCTGAGAGTATCCCGAAGAAAATCCCATCTAAGCCTGTCATACGCCTTTTCTAGATCAATCTTCATCACTAGACCCCCTTTCTTACCACGTCTCTTCCGCATAGAATGGAGAAACTCCTGGACTATAATGATGTTGTCCGTTGTCTGGCGCCCAGGAATAAAACTACTCTGACGCGGGGAGACCAACAAACTCATAACCGACTTCAGACGGCTCGTCATAACCTTAGTAATGGCCTTCAGGCTGACATTATTGAGAGAAATCGGTCGGAGTTGACCTACAGTCTCTGGATTCTCAACTTTCGGGATAAGTACCACCGTGGAGGCAAAAACCTCTTCGGGTAGCTCACCTTCCTGAAAGAAAGAGATGGCCATGTCCGTAAGAGACTTCCCCACAACTTTCCAGGCTTGTTGATAGAAAATAGCTTGAAATCCATCTGGCCCCGGAGCCTGAAAAGGCTTCATGTCAAAAACTGCCTTGTGGACGTCCTGGATGGTGAAAGGACGCAGGAGCTGGCTACGGTCCACATGACTGAGATGAGGGAAAGCTCTTCTCGGCATCAGGTCACTATACGGAGTTCCATCCTGCAGATAAAGCTTTGAATAAAACTCGAAAACCATGGCTGCCAACAGATGCTTGTCGTTTACCCACTCGCCATTCTCATCTTTCAAGCACTTAATCTTGTTAGACCTGCGCCTAATCTTAGCAAGTTGGTGGAAGTAGGAGGTATTCCTCTCCCCAAACTTAACCCAGTTTTCTCGAGATCTCTGAAACCACAGTAATTCCTCCTGCTCTAAGACCCTGTCCAGTTCGGTTGTGAGCTTTGAATGAAGCTTTGCTAAGCCAGGTGAAAAACCCTCAGCGAGCCGCTTCTCCACTCCACCAATACGGCCAAGCAGCCTCTTCTTTCTTTGAAGAATGTTACCAAAAACTGTGTTGTTCCAGGTCTGCAGCTTATTCGCTATGTCCTGCAAAGCCAAAGGCAAAACAGCTTGTGAATTCCACGAATCCTCCAGAAATCTCTGAAAATTATCATGAGTGAGCCAAGCTGCTTCGAATTTAAATCGTTTAGGAGAGGAATGGTGAACTCCCTGAGCAGCGACAGTAGTAAGAATTAGGCGACTGTTCTAGTTTCAACAATCCACACAAATAAAAACAGCAAACACATAATAATTGTTCTTGCTTCTACAATCCACACAAACATAATAATCGTCTACATCTTCATCATCAATTATGGTAGCTCAAGCAAAAATAAATCTCTCAAGGGAAATTGACCATTTGGTTAGCGGGGCGGGTATTAACGATTACCATACCCGTACCCTACCTTTTATTTTGAAACCGGGTATTACCCGTATCCGCCCCTTAATTCATCAAAATGGGTAATTACTCTCGTTGACCGGTTACGGTCAGGTAGCGTACTCATGATTATGGGTTGGATTGACATCCCTACTTCAGCCGGAGGCACAAATTTTTGAGAGGTACTATTTAACGCCCTAGTTTTTTAAATTTTACGCCCTAATTTTAAAAAGTTCACGATTTTGCCCTTAAAAAATCCCCAATTTCTAACTAAATGTCTAACCCTAGCCGCCCTACCTCTCGCCGCTGGTACCTCTCGCCGCCCTACCGCTGCCGTTCGCCCTGGAAGGAGCTCGTCGTCGGCGAGGATAGGAATCATCCGGCGAGCAGCTGATCGCTCGGAAAATCCCCTAATCGTCGTCGCCCTAATCATCCGGGAGGAATCAGCGTCATCGCCCGAGAGTTGAAAAAAATGGCGGCAAGTGTTCTTCCCAGCTACTGCCGCAGCTCGTCTCACAAATCAATCGCCGATTCAACTACACGACTCGACGAACCGAAGTCAGCTCAGTTCCCCGAGCGAGCAAGGAATTCCCGACGGAACCCTTCGAGACCTTCCATCAAGCCGAACAGCCTCGCTCTCACTCGTTCCCTCTCGGCATTAGCTGATTCTGGTTCTTCCAATCTCTCCCGCCGCCGTTCGTGCTCAGTGCGCCGGTCAAGTCTACCTTCGCGCTTCTCTGGTGAGGACGAAGAAGGAAGCACTGCGGGTCAAGTCTGGTTTTTTTTTTTTTAGGGACCGGGTTAAGTCTGGTTGAAAGGAGATCAACCGCAGGAATCGGTTGGGTTGGATCTGATCGGGTTGGACGTTTGAATCTGGTCTGGTTGGACACTTTTTTTTTTTTTACATAGGTTGGACACTTATTAACAATATAAAATAATTAAATAATTCCTCAAAGGAAAAGGACATCATATTTATTTAATTTGATTATTTAGAAGATGAATTAATAGTTGCAGTCATTGTTCAAGTAATATTATGTTTCCGAGTAGGATTTGTTTTTCTATTCCTAGAAGGACAGTATATGCTTTTGCAACTTCTATAAATAGAGAATGTAAGACCTACGAATTTTACAGAACATAATAGAAATAAAGACGTGTAATCGAAGATAATCAAGTTTGAATAAGGATATTTCCTTTGGAGTTTATTATGAGTAATTCGGTAAGTATTTTATTTGTTTATTGTTTGATAGTTTCATTATTGTACCATAATTCTTGCATGGCTCAACCTTATATGTTTTTATCATATTTAATTATAGGGAGATTCTGGAGGTGATGAGGGTGACAATTTTGATTACACATCATTGTTCATAAGCGATGTTGTTTATGATACCCGTGACGAAGCTTGTGCGGCGGCAAGGGATATTGCCCAAAGAAATAGATTTTTCTTGGTTGTGGGATCAGTCAAGCAAAACCTAGGAGAAGCCTATCCGCGGGTATATATGGATTGCAACCATGGTAATAGGAGCAAATCATATACCCCAGATTTGACGAAGACAAGACGGGTCAAATCAAAATCAGGCAAACAAGGTTGTCAATTCCAAGTTGTAGTGCGGGCTTAATTGGTAAATGGCAAATGTCAGTGGAGAATTTTGGGTGGTATGGATAGGTCTGGGAAGTCAAAGGGATTTCACAATCACAAATTGGAGGTTTATTCTGAAGGAAGCAAGCAAAGGAATGCTCTTTCAAAGGAGGAAAAAAATGAAATTAAGGAGTTGGAGGCAACACATACTCAGGCGAGAGATATAAGAAGTTTTATAAATAGGAAGTATGATGCTCATCACAACATGGATCAGGTTTATAACGAGACAGCAAAGATTAGGCGCGAGCGATTCGGTGGCCTTTCCCCTATGCGGTGGACATTGATAGAAGCTGACCGTCTTGGCTACTTCATTGGGGTTGATTTTGATGATGATCGTTGTGTTACTAGACTCTTCCTTTGCCATCCAGAATCTATTAAGATGTTGAGCGCATGGTATTTCGTTATTTTGATAGACTCGACGTACAAGACCAACAAATATAAACAACCATTGGTTCAGTTGATTGGTGTTAGTCCGGTGAAGAAGAACTTCAACATAGGGTTCGCATGGGTTTCAGATGAGACAAAGGAGACATATGCTTGGGTTTTGTCGCAACTGAAGAATGTTCTTGGTGGTCGAAGACCAGATGCGTTCGTCACCGATAAGGAGGGAGGGTTGGGTGTCTCCGTGCGTGAGATCTTTCCATCTTCAGCTCATTTACTATGTGTGTGGCACATGAAGAAAAACATTGAAGCTAAGATGATGTCTCTCGGGTCAAGTCGAGAATCTGCAGAGGCGTTTGTAGCAGGGCATTGGCAGACACTTATGAATGCCAACACGCAGAGAGGGTTCCAGCAGCGGTGGGTAGACTTGCAGAATAGTGAGTGGGGTAGAAACCTACGCTTCATGAACTACTTGAAGGGTGAGTGGATACCATGTGCGCAAAGGTGGGCTCATTGCTACACCAATCGTGTTTTCCATATTGGTAACACGAGCACAAACAGGGTAGAGTCAGCTCATTCGTCCTTGAAGAAATGGCTTGCCAGTTCGACCCACAAGATCGACACACTCTTTCTCAGATATCACACATCCATTGAGGGAAAAGTGACTGAACTAAGAAAGGACTTAGAGGATTCGCGTTTGAAGGTATTTTCAATTTTTCTTCAATGGTGTTGATATTCCTCTGTATACTCAATTTGATTTTGACTTAGAATTTTGTTCTTTGAAATAGGTATTTAAATTAGCTGACGGTCCGCCATATGGTCACTTGAATATGGAAGTAAGCTTGTGGGCAATTGAGTTGTTGATGAAAGAACGAGCAAGAGAAATTGTTCAGCGATGTGGATGTCGGCTACATGAGACACATGGTTTGCCATGTAAATGTAAGATGGATGCACTTAGTGATGCCGGCATGGAGTTACACCCTCACCACTTACATCGATTCTGGTCATCTTTGGTGTATGAGAGTCCTCCTGATGGTGCAAAATGGGAGGACCATGATGCCACTGAGCGTGGAATTTTTGCAGCCATGGTGGAGGATGTGTACAGGCAAGGACCAGCTGCTGTCCGGAATGCATCTCAGTTACTACTCCCTCATATTCGTCCACAAGTTGCAGGCCTATTAGAGCCTAGAGAGTCAGAGGCTCCAAAGGGACGACCACCAAAGAGGTCGAACACTAGAGATCCTTCTTGGTTTGAGCATGAGAGGACACGAACGGCAAAGAGGAGCAAAACAAATGAGAACACGAGAAAGACACACAAGACGACTCCTGCAGGTTAGCAAAGTTCTTATCTTTTTGGTGTAATCATACTCCTTGGTATGTAGCCGTTTACAGTAGTTATTTTTTGTAATAACAGGAGGTGTCTCGAAAAGTCAGCATATGCAAGTCCACAATGAGAGAAATGTTTGTCCTTATCTCCGCTATATCCCACTTAGCGTCCGCCCTCTTCTTAGAGGTTGGTTTGACCCAAAACCAGACGGGCAATGTGGTTTTCGAGCCATGTCACATGTGATTTATGGAGACGAGGAACAATACTTACAAATGAGGCAAAATCTTGTCACAGAAATCAATGATCATAGGTCTATCTATGAGGGGGTTTATCTTTACAGAGATGGATCGTTGGAGGCAACACGTCATAGGCTGGGTCGTCGGACTGCTGGGAGTTGCACACAAGAGTATTGGTTTGAGGAGGTGGATTTGCTGACATTCGCAACCCTATACAACTGTGCAATTGTTGTTTATGGACTGTATAATGAACGAACCACGTATGGGTACACAGTCTTACCTTTGACGGCGCCGGAAGGGGTCACTCAACCTAGTCAAGTTATAACTCTTGCTTTTACTGGGGCACATTGGGTGCGACTATATTTTGGCGAAGTTGATGGGGTCACACCAATACCTCATTTTAGTCCACAGTGGTCTCACTTTCGGGATATGCTAAGAATTGCTGATTGGGATTCGTTATACGAGCCAGGGCGACAATTGTATGTCCATCTCGGAGGACATCATCCAGCCAATGACGATGACAAGAGTGATTAAACATTGTTGCATTATTTTTTTTTTAAGATTTAACATTATGTTGAATTATGGATTTACCTTTGTGTCATTATCAAGTGATTTGGATTTTATATTCTTATGAATTTACCTTTGTGTCATTATCAAGTGATTATTATTTTATATTATTATATATAAAGAGGATTGTAATTATCCATTTTTTTATGAAATCATATTGTCTTGAAGCCCTACTTATAGATATTATTTATTAATATATAATTTAAGCATTGATTATAGCAATTCATCACCAATCATATAAATTCATCTCTAATAAAAAATGTAGATTAATTGTAAAATGTAAATCACACTATTTAAAAATTAAATGTAAATCTCAATGATTGTACGTTAATTATAAAACTCAATATTGGTTATAAAACCAATTAATTATACATAACTAATTAATTATAACACAATATTTGACCCAAACCGCACAGGTCCTGAAGCCCACGACCCGACCAGCAACCAGACCCACGACCCGACCAGCAACCAGACCCGCCTCACTTTCTCCTCCTTCCTCGATCGCGGTTCCTGCTCGGCGAGACGGTTCTTTCTTCTTCTTCCTCCTCCGAAAACCATAGACCGGCAGACGGTTACCCATCGCCCTAATCCAATTTGCTCTGTTCGTCGCGGCCCTAATCCCAACCCATCGTGATGGCAAGCGAATTGACAGGCGAGACACAGCAGGAACGGCGGCATCTTCGTCGGAGTGTTCAGCGCGATTCCTCAGCGCTATTCCTCGATCCGTCTTCTTCCTCCTCCTTCCTCGATCGCGATTCCTGCTCGTAGCGTCCGCCCTCTTCTTCCTCCCAATAGTAGCAGCGCCGGCGATTCCCGCTCGAGAAGCCCTTAATCATTGTCATCGAGAAGCCCTGGTCGCGGCTGCTCTGTTGGCGGAGACCGGTGTCATCGAGAAGCCCTGATCGCGGCTGCTCTGTTGGCGGAGACCGGTGGCAGCCGCGCTTTTTTCGTCAGCCGCCGAGCAGAATAATTAGGGCGGCGTTTACAAGTCGCAAAATTGGGGAAGGGCAGCGATTAAGGGCGGTGAGGGGTAATATTGTCTGTTTGGTTAATTTAGGGCGTAAAATTTAAAAAACTAGGGCGTTAAATAGGAATCCAGAATTTTTTGCTCCAAAGAACTTCATGCTTCTTCCATGCGTCATGTCCGTGCTTCTTCTCAACATCTCATTCATCATTATGCTTCCAAACCCAGCCGTCTCTCAGTCTCTTCTTCCCCCCGCTATTTCGGCACCAACCGTAGCGAGTCACTCGATTCCTTGGACGGCCTTCTTCGAGGTTGCTCTAGGGTTCAGCAATGCCAGCAGGTTCACGCGCAGGCCACCGTCACCGGAAGCACTGGCTCCGGTTTCCTGGCTTCCCAACTGGTATCTACGTACGCTCGTTTTGGCCGTCTCTTGGATGCCCAGATGGTGTTTGATTCTCAGAGCCAATCGGATTGCTCTTCCAACCCGATTCTTTGGAATTCGATTCTCAGAGCTAATGTCTCCGGTGAGTGGTATGAAAACGCTCTCAATTTGTATGCTAGAATGCGCAAGTTTGGAAATTTAGGCGATGGTTTCACCCTCCCTTTGGTGATTCGGGCGTGTAGAAACGTGGGTTGTCAAGGGAGGAAGAGTTCTAGGTTGTGTCAGATTGTTCATTGTCATGTTATTGAGGCTGGTTTGCGAACCCATCTCCACGTCTCGAACGAGTTGATTGGAAGGTATGCGAAACTGGGACGGATGGTTGATGCACGCAAAGTGTTCGAGAGAATGCGTGTTAGAACCACTCTGTCGTGGAATATGATGGTTTCCGGGTATTCCTTCAATTGTGATGCTGTTGCTGCCCTTGATATCTTTCGAAGGATGGAGACCGAAGGATTGGAACCTAATCTCGTGACATGGACGTCTCTCCTATCAAGCCATGCGCGTTGCGGGTTAAGTCTAGAAACCATGAAGCTGTTCAGTTCGATGCGGAAGAAGGGAATTGGGGTGAATGGTGAAGCACTTGCCGTCATCTTGTCAGTCTGTCCCGATCTCGGTGCATTTCGTATAGGAAAGGCGATTCATTGTCATGTTATAAAGGATGGTTTCCAGGATTACTTGTTCGTGAATCATTCCCTGATATGCTTGTATGGCAAGAGTGGAAATGTAACTGAAGCGCAGACCTTGTTCCAGGAGATTGGAAACAAGAACACAGTAAGCTGGAACGCTTTGATAACATCTTATGCTGATGCCGGCTTATGTGATGAAGCTTTCGGAATTTTCTCGCAGATGGAGAGACCTGATATAGTTAGCTGGAGTGCTGTAATAAGTGGCTTTGCCACGAATCAGAGAGAAGAAGAGGCACTGAATCTCTTCCGACGAATGCATAGTGCCGCCAACGTGACAGCAAATGCTGTCATGATTTGCAGCGTTTTGTCAGCATGTGCAGAGTTATCAGCACTGAATCTCGGGAAGGAAATCCATGGATACATGATAAGAACATTCCTGAGCAACGAGCTTCTTGTTTCAAACAGCTTGGTTGATATGTACATGAAATGTGGGAACCTGAAGGAAGGCCATTTAGTGTTTGAGAGAACTGAGGGTAAAGATGTGATTTCATGGAACTCCATCATCAAAGGATTTGGGATGCATGGACTTGGCATCAAAGCTCTACAGATGTTTGATCGTATGATCACTTCTGGCCATCAGCCGGATGGGATAACCTTTGTTGCGATTCTCTCAGCTTGTAGTCATGCTGGACTTGTTGACCAAGGCCGTTTGCTTTTTAATAATATGGTTTCCAAGTATGGAATTGAACCAGGGATGGAGCACTATGCTTGCACAGTGGATTTGTTGGGTCGGTCAGGTTTCCTTGAAGAGGCAAGCGAAGTTGTTAAGAAGATGCCGATGGAGCCTAATGATTGTGTGTTGGGTGCTCTGTTGAACTCATGTAAAATGCATACTAACACGACTTTTGCAGAGAATGTTGTGTCTCGAATGTCAAGTCTTGTATCTGAGAGTCCTTGGAGCTGTACGTTGATGATGAATATATATGCAGGTAGTGGTAAGTGGGAGGATTCTGCCAAGGAGAGAGCCTCTGCAAGGAGTAAAGGGTTGAAGAAAGCTGCTGGGCAGAGCTGGATTGAGGTGAAGAAGAAGTTCCATAAGTTCGTGGCAGGGGATTGCTTGGAGGAGAAGAATTCAGGGGAGATCTTTAGGGTTCTTGGGGGACTGACGAATCAGATGGAGGATATCAGTGATGACTATGTCATCTTTTTGAAGTTGATGATGTTGGACTAATGAGATTCTGGAGACTCACATTCCAGCAGGTGATGCTGTAACTGTATTTGGTCCAGTCATCAGTGTATTACAGTATTAGCTCCCAATTGCATATTCTGCACGCTGTCATGTGATGCAAGTTGCTCATGTTTTTGCTATATAAGTACTCTAAATACTTTGCCGGAAAGACAAGACACCAGAATTTATTTACAGGGTTCTGAACAGTGTATAAAATTAGAATGACTGGAATTCCAAGGGTTTTACATACACTAATTACTACTGTCTGTCATATAACACTTTCTCCTACCTTACAGAAGGGTGTTTAATATTACAGGCCTTATGAGAGAAGAAAAAACAAAGACGAATACGGAGTGGTAGTCTTATCTGTTCCTCTGTCAGCTGCTAAATAACAGTGCCCTACTAACTCTCTCTTAGTCAAAATCTTGCAGTCAGAAGACAACCCAAACCATCTTTGCAAACCATTGGAAAAGTTAGCTAGCTAACCATTTTGGGACAATGGTCCAATCACAGGAGCCTCCTTTTGAAGTTGCGGGTGGTTCGTACCAACAGACCGACCCCAATGCCAACCCCGACGCAGATGCCTAGCCCAATACCGACACCAACCCTAACACCGGCATTGAACCAGGAGAGCTCACCGTCTTCACCATCCATAAACTCTGTTCTCCTCCAGTACAAGTTGTAATCTTCCTCGTTCTCCAGTTTGTAGCTTCTGTACTCTGCCACCTGCAGATCAATCAATCAGACAGATTGAGTCTCAATGAGTTGGTATAGTGTATATTTTGCTATTCTAGTGGAATGCATAGCAGAAGTGTAGGACATCATCTCCTATTCTATTATTTACTCTGAACAACAGGCATATTCTGTCTTAGTTATCTTATATTTACAGAGATATATTGTATTGCAACTTTTCTATTGATTAGTGTAAGCTAAGAACAAATTCAAGCCGTCATTTCTTACATAAATTGAGTTCATTGGTAATGGATCCATAATAGCATACTAATGCCTGATCAATGACATTGATGCATGGCAAGCCAATAGAGAAAAAGAAAACGGAACAGAATACAGATGCATGTCAGAAGAAGGTAGGTGAGGCCACGTGGAAAGCATCCTCCCACGTGGAAGTGGCATGAACCCCACGAGCGTCAGGATTGCCAGAAGGAAGAAGATAATAAAAATAGCACAACAACACAAGACAAGAATGGGACGAAAGAAAGGAAAAATGAAAGAACGCAAGCACTCGATTACACTATCTAGTCACTAGAAAAGTGTGCCTCTGCCCATAACCGATGTCACCATCTACTGAAAGATAAGATTCCATAACCCTGCAGACTCCATGACCATCAATCCCACAACAAGCATGGCGCTCTTTTTTTGTCCGACTCAAACATGTCTCGACACAGGAAGCAACAATAGCTAGAGGTCAAGAAGTAATCTTTTTACCTGTAAATCATCATCGTGAGCTGACTCGGCTTTCTGAGGATAAGTGGTTTCATCCTCAGGAATCGAATCCAATTGCCCCTTCCTGTTATGCTTCTTCCTGTAACTAAGCTGCAGAGTCTTGGTCAATATGATCGGCGTCCCGGAGAAGCACCCGGTCACATAGACTTCTATGGCCGGGAGTGATGTATTCTCTGAAGAACCATTAACATGTTTCCCTCTCAAGAAGCTAGTGGCACCCTCTGATTCACACTTCATGCTCCATCGCTTCACACTGCCTTTACATTCTCCGGTGAAGCCATTGCTGTTGGACATCTCCATAGTACCAGAAAGGACGAGATCATCCTTATCGAACACGTCGAATTTCACACTCCCTGTAGTTCTGATGCTATCCGTGCTAACAAACGTGACTTCTTCGGATTTCTTGTCTACTCGATCCCTTCGAAGCAGCAATGGGGCTCCATCGGAGTAGATACTGCTTCTAACACCATTGACTTCGAGGAGGGTGTCCGGGCTTAGAGGGATGTGGTTGATTGTGAGGAACTCTGGTGTTGTGCCATCGACCTGGAAGTTGCTGATTCTGACGTAGAAGACTCTGAGTTCCAGCCATGGTGATGAGTATCTGGAGGGCTGGAATGGTGAGTACTTGATTATCTGGAGATTGGAGTTGGTTCGTCCTTCATCTTGATCATCATAAGGGCCATCCATGATTTGATTCTACAAGCCTGAAGTTCAGAAAGGCACTCCCAAGTTAGATGAGATTTGTTTCATCTGGGGAACCATAGGAAAAAAAACTGGAGAATAAGAAACACTAACAGGGAATCGAGGCTCGAGCCCACACAGTGATGAAGTTCAAAAAGAATATTGAAAGAAGGAAGTTGATTGAAAAGGAAGATCCGAGAAGATAAAGGGCAGAACAAGATAGTCAACCCAGTAGCCAGAAATTCTGGAAACTAAGATAAGGTTAAAATATCCATCATCAGCCCTAGGAGTGATCCAAGTGTCCACTGACCTCTGACTCAAAGCAACAGTATTTTGATATTTTCTCCCTTGTGAACTGTTAATGACAAGATACGAACTAATAAGCAAAATCAATAGATTCAGAACTCAAGCAATCCCCCACCACAACAACAAAGGAAATTTCTGTCTAAGAAGTAAGAACAAGAAGAATAAATAGGAAGGGAATGAAAGCACAAAAACTTACGCGGATCAGGCGATCGCTTTGATTGTATCGATTCCTTATCAAATCTATGGTAACAGGGCTTCCCCAACAAAAACCCAATTCACTTCTGTTCCGTGCCTTCACTTTCCCACTTCCAATGAACGATGCTATTCATTGAGGAATTTGTTCAAGCAGTTGGTGGGCAGAGAGCAGGAAGATGGAAAAACAAAGAAAAGGAAACAGAAGGAAGAAGAGGAAAAGATATAGAGGAGAACGAAAGAAAACAAAAGGCGCGTTTCAGTAAGCAGAGAAGGGAAAAGAAATGTGCCCGGTTAACTCTCACAGCAAATAGCAAACCACGTCACACAAACCGCCAAAATGAGCCCCTCTTCCTCCGTCCCTTTCTCTCTACAATTCCAGAACGATACCAGAGCCACGAAAAACGGGAAAAAATTCACCAACAGAACAATCTTTTCCCCGGTTGAGACATATCCTCGAACAGATGGTGTGCGATTAGCGATTTTGACCCGGTTCCGGCCCCTCCTCCAAGATTAGAGCTTTTGATTACCATACGCAAACTCGTGGCCTGGGATCAACGATTTCAGCTTGAACGCGGGGGGGAAAGCGGAAAAATCTCCTCCAGGCTCCACCAAGGCAAATCAAGAAGCCCTCTCCTCCTCCAGTTTTCTTCAATGGCTGTCCCTTTCCGGCGGACTAGAAAGAAACTGTCCACTCGATTTCTCGGGGGAATGGCCAGATGGTTTGACGTTTTTCCCGAGTGCTGTATTTTTAATCGTTTTCGCTTTCGTTGGCAGGTGGAGAAATGGGGGAAGGGAACTGATTTCAATGGTACGATAAGATCGGATTGAGAGGGAGACAGGCAGCCATGAGACCTGTGAGGAGATGGGAATTTCTCTTTCTTTTTTTTTCCCCCTTCTTTTTAATTCATTTTTTTCTTTTGAATTGTTTGCATCTTACGAGGACAAATGCTGTCGCTCTCACGTTCTTGTTCGTCCCTTCTGCCTGCTGCTCCATCTACTCCCCATGTGTGCTGTAAAATTTATGGATTCTTAAGTTAATTACATTTAGTTACTGTTTGCTTGTTGGATGCGGTTTGCTTGGATTTGAAAATAAAGGTTTTGAGTTTTGAAAATATATTGGATTTTACAATGGAGTTGTTTCATTTTGTATTTTAAAGATAATATTGTTTGTTTAATTGACTTTTTTATCATGGATTTAGTTCATTTGGTATTTGGTTTTCAAAAATTTGTCTTCCATAATGTGGTATTTGCTAATATCAAATGAAATGTGGTATTTACAAATACGTGGGGTCCACGGATTTGAAACTAAAAGGGTCAATACCTTAGTTTGGCCCGAACTATACACATACTTTCTACTTTGGCCCGTGGTATTGGAAATTGCTATTCTAGCTTGAACTATGTAGCGAACTTCCTCGTTTGGCCTGGATGCGGGTTTGACCGTTAAATTAGACGGTCAAACTTGTTAACCGTTAGTCAATGTCCACCTCACCCGCCACGTCAGCTTTGAGGACATAAAAAATATTTTTTTATTTCTAAATTTTGTTTTCTTGTCATTTGCTAAAAATGAGCCCTTTTTCGTTCTTTTAATTAATTTTTTTATTTATTATTTTTATTAATCGAAATAAAATAAAATTCAGAAATAAAAAATATTTTTATGTCCTCAAAGCTAACGTGGCAGGTGAGGTGGACATTGACTAACGGTCAACAGGTTTGACCGTCTAATTTGACAAACCCGCCTCTGGGCCAAATGAGGAAGTTTGCTACATAGTTCAGGCCAGAATAGCAATTTTCAATACCACGGGACAAAGTAGAAAGTATGTGTATAGTTCAGGCCAAACTAAGGTATTAACCCAAACTAAAAAAAGTGTCCAAATCCATGGCCCCATGGATTTGCCTACCTTAACAAACAATGGCTTTGGACAAAAAACATGATGGTTTGTATTTGGAGATCAAATACAACATCCAAATCTCATTAGCAAACGAGCCATACTTTGGACGGTGAACATTGTAGGTGAATCAAAAAGTGGTCTTGTGAAATTCGTAAAATTGACACAAACTTAGATGGTAAACAAACGCACAACATCAAATTTGTGTCAGACCTTACTCTTCGGAGAAGAGATTCTCGGCAAATATTGAATCGGCTTAATTGAGTTTTGATGGTCGATCTCTTAACGATTTGAATGTTCCCGCAATTAATTCGGACAAGAACAATGTATAACAGAGTTCGTATCTCACCACTCTTTCGAATTGGAGAATGAAGGTCACAAATGTTAAGGTTTGGACAATAGGTGAAATTAATTTGTACCCAAAGAGTGGTAAAAAAAAATATAGGTAAGCTGCCAATGTGTGCCAATCATTTGAGAGAAGATATCACCTGAAACATCGTGCTCATAAAGAATAACAATTAATCTCGATGGACTTAGTACGTTCATGAAAAACAAGGTTAACGTGATGAACGACAATAATCTGAATACCACAAAATACAAAAAATACAAAATACACAAATAAACAGAAGAATAGTATAAATACTAAAGATGGATCGAGTTAGTGAAATTTAAAAAATAACAATAGGACAAGCATTATTTTTCAAGTGTTATCAGATAATCTCACAGACTCATACTCAAAGACGGTTAGTCACCACGCGCCACAGTTGTGTTCCATGATAACACACCCAGCTGAGATTGGAATGGATGACGTTGAAAACTTTGATGGGCTAAAAATGTAACTTCCATGGATAATCGAGTGGGCTCTAATATTGTGGGCCTTCTGCCTATCTATTTCAGTATTGGGGCCTTTTGGCCTAATGGACCGACCTTTCGTTTGTAAGAGACTGATCAGCTTTATTATTGTATTTCCCCCTTCTTTTTGGCAGGGATGGCCTTTCTATGAGTGAAGTTAGTTGGACAAAAGTGTTAAGGTGACATTACATAATGGAGTAGTCTATGTGTGGATAATTAAATAACACGTAGTTGGCGGCTTGGCGCATGAAAAGTGAAGGAACTAACAAAAGCATCGAATATATATTTATTGAAGCTAAATCAACAACAATCAACGACATTTTATCAACTAAATTTGATTTTCACAAGTTAAACTCATTTGACGAGCTCACGTCAAGTTTTTATTTTTGTAAACAAATCGAATTCGAGCTTTCCTATCAAAGTCTGCGTCAAACTCGAGCTGAGCTCAAAGTTGATATTATTTTACGAGTAGAATCCGAACCATGGCAAGGCTTGGCCTGGATATCAACAACCCTAGTTATATGCTTGATTTTAAGTTGTTTTGTTGAAGCATAATTTGACTTGCACTTGGCGAATCAAAACCAATTATATTGTAGCCAATCGGAGGTGACCCAAATGAGAAAGACATGATAAATTATTCTTTGGGGGGTAATTTGACAAGCATGCGATCAATTAACTCATTTTTAAAATACATATTTTCGATATTACAGTGTTTGTTCTCCTTGCATTTTAATTAGAACGTTATCTATTTTGTGCCTGACGAAATTACATAGAATCAAAATGTTCACATTTTCTATAAGTCAATCACTACATTGATTCTTACAATCCTACCCCATAAAATACACAAATTCTCGAAATCCTACTATACGCAAAAAAAGCCTTTCTTTTCATTTACAATTCCAGTCAAATGAAACTTTAGCAAATAGCCGCGGAAATCTTATAGAAACAGGGGAGTGGGGCCACCCGAGGGAAGAAGAAGGGGCAAAGAAAATGGCTGTAGGGTCAGCGTTCTTCCGTTTTTGCCGAGAGCCTCAGCCACTTAGCGCCCTCTGTCCCGCACACTCTGTTTCTTCGCCTTTAACCATGGTTAGCCCTATCCACTATTAGCACTTCTCCTCCCTCTTTCATCCTCTCTGTCTCTCTCTCTTTTCCTTGCTTCTCCCCTTTCATCCTTTTTTCCTGTCAACTTTGTCTAAAAAAAATTTATGCAAAGCTGGAGCTGGGTTTTCTGTTCACAGTTCGTCTGCAATCGTTATTAGATACTCAAATCTAATTTGAAAGGAGAAGCAGTCGATTGTTTGTTTCTTGTGTGCTTCTTCTTCCTCTGTTTATTTTCCCTTCTTCTGCTGTTTGCTCTTTCTATACCAGAAGTGTTGTCGTTAGTAGTACTGATTAGACTGAGAGGAGAAGTGGGGGGGAAAAAGGGCTTTCTGGATTCTTATGTATAGAGGGTAGAGGAGGAAAGATGGGGAAGAAGAAGGCGCAGAAGACCAAGGAATTGTCAGTAGCCATAGCAGAGGATGCAGAGCAGCAACATCATCAACCACAAGAGGGAGCAGAAGCAGCAGCAGCTGTTTCTTCGCCGCCTCAGTCTCCAGCTCCCAGAAAGAGAGGCAGGCCACGCAAATTTTTTGTTGCTGCTGAGCAAACAACAGCCGCCAACAATAGTAATGACCCAGGAGAAGGAGAAGGAGAAGGAGAGTCGACTAAGCGGCTCAAAGTTGTCAGCGACAAGAAAGGAGAAGCTGGATTAGAAGTGGAACAAAAAGCTACCGCTGCTGTTAGGAGAAGCAGGCGCAGGAAGAGCAAACCCAGAAAGAGCAGCTGATATGTAATATCACAACACCACCCCAAAAAAAAAAAAAAACAAACAAACACAAATCTGTTTTGCTTTCTTTTTTTCTTTTGCTGTGGTGGTCATCTGTGAATTAGTAGGTCCATGTAGCAGCAAAAATTGAAGAGAAGATGGATTCTGGATTTGCTTATCTTTGTCTCCTTACAATTTATTTCTCACGGCAGGGTGACATTTAGAAACAGGGTACTGATAGTCTGATATGAATGTTTAGCAAAAACAGAGGAGCTAGCTGGCGGCGGAAAGGTCAGGAAAGGGGAAGTCTTTTTTTTTCTTTGGCTGAGCTATTTGGGTCGACCCGGAAACTCAATACAGGAGGAAGAACGTACATGAACCCGACCCGATTGCCAGGGAGGAAGAAGAAGGGACAGCCTGCGACGGCGAGAGGTTTGCTTTAGCCAACTGGGAAAGGCCAATTGCTTGCTGAGTGGGACAAACAGATGGATAGGGCGACCCATCCATTATCCGCCGCTAGTCCCTACCCCAATAAGCCGAGAGAGCCGCTGCTGGGTGCTAGAATTTCTGCCCTCTAATTGGTTTCCCCTTCCCTTTTGGTTGATGACACACTTTGGTAATGAGCGAAGGAAACAATCAAGCTACAGAGGGAAGGATTGTGAAAAGGCGTCAAGAAGGTGGCTTTTGTTAGGCAGGATGATTTGGAGTAGACTAATAGGTGTTGACCAGCATGTAGGCGGTTAATGAGCCGAGCCAAGTCGAGTTTTGCCTTGTTAATGTTCGGCTCGTTTATAAACGAGTCGAGTCGAATACAAGGCAACTTATTTATTAAATCTTGACGCATCATTAAGATCGAAAGTTCGGCTCGAGCTCAACTCTAAGATAATTTATAATATAAATACCCTAATATTTATGTCATATGTGATACATGTGATTACCTAATGTTATGGCATATATAAGACGTATTTGTTTAAATATACTCAATGTATTAAACATCATATGAGGTGATATATTCGATTTAATAATTATATGCATCATTAACAAACCAACTCATAAAATATCTATTGATTTTCTCATAAGCCGTAGTCAAGTTGGTTCTCTAGTCACAATGTTGGGACATCTCATAAGCTCAAAACGAGACAGTTCATGAGTTGTAATCAACGAGCTACATAATCGAGCTAGTTCACGAGCTTCACGAGCCGAACAAGGTAGAGCTCAAACTCGGCTCGTTTATTAACGAGCCAAGCTTTTATTTTAATCGAACGAGCTTTTATCGAGTTCAAGACCGAGCCACTCACGAATAGCTCGGTTCATTAACAACCCCTACTTGC